GGGAAAAGAAAGAAAGAAAAATGGTTTGATGCTCCGGAACATTTCCCTCCTAAAGGAAAGGAGAAAGAAGAGGACCCAAGTTCCCCAGCTTCTCACTGGACTCTCTTGTTCAGAACACACTGCTGCTCACTCCCAGAGCTCTGCTTAAATTCTTTGCATAGTACTTTTATCTAGTACTTTCCTTCTTTGTTTTTACCTCATCTACTATATTTTCACTCCATAAAAGCAGAACTTCATGGTCTTGCTTGCCACTGTCTCCACAGTGCCTGCAGCAGTACCTGGCACAGAGAAGATGCCAAACATTTGTTGAAAGAAAGAATAGGGGATCAGGTTTACTTTGTTTTATGTAACAAGTGCCTAGAAACTTTAGTGGTTATCCTGTGAGGCCCTCTGAATATAATTGCTATTGGTAAATCTGTGTCCTCATTCTAGCATTTGGGACAGGAAAGCAATATGGAACCAGGAATCTTTCAAGAATGTTTTAATCCACAATGCAAGGTTGTTAGAATATGATCTCTGCAGCCTAGAATTGAGTATGATACAGGTTACCCCAGCCCCCATCCAAGAGAGAGGTCCAGCTATTTAGAATTCTACCCCTAAATAGCAGAAGGGAAGACACATTTTATTTTGATTCAATTCCAATTTTTATACATTCAGTGCATCAGTCGGCGAGTCAGTGGGTATTTATTGAGCCCCTTCAGGGTACAAAATAGTGCTTTGGTTGAGCTATTGAGTTTGAAATATTAATCACATTGTTAAACCAAAACTAAATCCCCAAGTAGTTGAAATGCTGTTCAAGTTGTTGGGGTACATTTCCTGTAGACTGTATTTTGTGATGATAGGCTTTTACTTAATAATATATGTTCCCACTTGGGCAGGAACAAAAGTTCAGTAAATAACTGAGGTGTTATTTTTTTACCAAAATGAAATCCTTCAGGAGTCTTTGATCATTAGCTTGCTTTCTGTCCAATTGTTGAAGGATTGTGTTGTAATCACTGTTGTAATCACCTTTTGGGTAATTTAAGATTTTTACATCTTGTAGCTGCCAGGAGTAGGGTAAAAAATAATAATTGCCTTTCCCTCTTTGGCACTAGTCTTTAAATTGGGCAGAGAAAGAAGGGGTATTATTGCTGCCTTCCAGATCTCCAATCTATTCAAGGTATGAGCTGAACAAGATATAATGTCTGGATCACAGAAATGCATAAAATCCAAAGGGTGCCTTGGCATCACCATCAGATGTAGACTTTGTGAAGGAAGCATTCACTGTGCAGATTCTGTTTTCATTGTTTGTTACTCTTTTCTTTTCAGATTTCTCTGTTGAATTCTGCAGTAAACCATCTCAAAGCCAGTGTTAAATCAGCAGCAGACTTAATTAGCCTGCCTGCCACTGTGGAGGGACTTCAGAAGGTAAGTGCTATGTATAGCCACTGAGATTAACCGACTACTGTAATTCTAGCTCCTTAGAAGTTTTCTTTGAAAGCCTGGCATTTGAAATCACCTGCTGCAGGAGGGCAGTAATAGAGCATATCACTATGTTCTAAAGATTTCAGAATATCTCTGTTTTGATCTGGTTCGTTGGGCCTTTAAATTTGCAACAGGTGACTTTAGCCCTGTTTTATGTGGGTGTGCACCTTTTTATTTGGCTCTGCAAGTCCCAGGATTGTTCTGCTGGGAATCTTATGTTAACGTATGTGGGTTCGCTTTTCATCATTTGCCTTTTCAGTTCATCATCCACAATGTCTTCATGAAAGCAGACCAATTGTGCATGAGAGTTGCTCTAAATTATTAATTTTTAAATTTTTAAAAAATAATTTGAAGATATGCAAATATTCAAAATTCATGATATGTATAAATGTTAGCAAGGATGTAGAGCAAAGGAAACTTTCAAACACTCCTGCTGGGAGAATAAATTGGTAAAAAGCATTTTGGAAAACACTGTCTATTATTTTGTAAAGGTAAAGGTGCACATCCTCCAAGCACTTCACCCCATATGTACCCTAGGCTCTAGGGCCTAGGCAAACAGTAATTTGGAATTTCTGTTTATTTGAGCCCTACGATTCAAGCCTAGAGCCGGAGGCAGTCACCTAGCAGATGAGTAATACATAGGCATCTTAGAGCTGGGTAGCGAGAGGGGGTAGGAAGCAGAAGGGGCCTACTTGGAACATAAGCAGCAGCCCCTGCAGCAGGAAATGGAGGAAGGGATTCTGGGGCAAGGAAATCAAATCTAGCGTCTTTAACTTGCAAAAGCTAGTGTGTGATAACTTTGACTTGATTACCTGCCAGGCTTTATAAATATATAAATTATCTTCACAAAGGAGAACTTTTTAAGCCAAAAACAGAAACGAAACTTGCTATTTTATAGCCACTCCACCTGTGTGCTCAGTCTCCATAGTTTGCTAGTTGTCCAATGTGGTCATCTGCTTATAACTTTAAATAAAAAAGTAGGGACAACTTTGAGGCCAAATGCTTCTTGCCATTGTTCTCAAGTGCCAAGTGGGAAAAAGGTAGGCCTCTAGCCTTTAGCACAGAAGCAACTCTGATAGTCTCACATTAGTGAAGGAAGGTGGTTTACTTTTGCATTCATTAATTTAGTAAACACTTGAGGAGCTTCTTCTGGTGTGTGCCAGGCACTTTGCAGTTGCTGAGAATACCAAACAATAACTTACTATCTTCTTGCGTCCTGATGGGATCATACAGCCAGCCAGTGAGTAGTCTCTAGCAGGAGGTGTCTCTAAAAGCCTGTAGCTTCTGTAACAACAAAGCTTGCATAGATAGCATCCCAGCTCAGAGACTTCTACCCAGGGTGTTTTCTCTTTGCAAATCTGTGCATTTATAATGTTAGACACTAGTTTTATTACAAGGGGCTCAATTTTGAAGTGGAAGTTCATCTCAAATGCCTAACCTCAGTGTACTTGTATAATTTTTTTAAATGTCGAAAATGTCATCTCTTGTTCTCTTGGATTCTTGGCTATCAATGTTATATAAAAGACCATGGTTTAAAATACTAATGTGACATCATAAAATTGTTAGTCTATCTTAACAAAAGGCCAATACCCACCAAATAGTAACATTCTTTTGAGCATTCCCTTAGGACAGGGCTTTTTTAAAAGATGGCTTCTGAGTCATTTTCCCAAGTCCCTGATACCACTTGGGCTCCTTAGGCCTAATGAAAGCAAAGTAAGCTACTACTACTCATATCTAGCTCTCCTCAGTAGTTGCTGATGGGATTCTAAAGTAGAAAAAGAACAAATACTGCCAAATGGAATTTTTCCTTCATCTCTGCAATGCTAGTTTTCCCGAAGCCAAAAATGGTTTCACCCATTTTCACTCAAAAGTCATCATTTGCTTTAAACTCCATGGCAGTCTACAGTGTTAGCTCTGCCATCTACCTGCCTACAGCAGGGCTTGAGAGAGGCAATTTGTGAGAGAGCCTTATCCATGGGCTCCAAATCTATAAACTAGTGGTGTTTTTTAAGGAAAGATTTGGTTTTCCTCTAGGAAAAGTCCTTTAAATTGGGAAAATTGCTTGTTTTACATATATATCTTTTTCCTGTTAATTGTGTCAGTATAAGCTATATGAAATTCATAGTTTGAAGATATTTGAAATAATTAAAAGCACTGACCTCCATTCATCAGTGTTTAATGTAAAATGAAATCGATGATATATACACTTCCACTAGAATGGCTAAAATTGAAAAGACTGCAGGTACCAGTATTGAGGATATGAAGTAACTGGAATTCTCGTACATTGCTGGTGGGAATATAAAATGGTATAACCATTTTAGAAAACAGTTTGGCAGTTTTTTAAAAAGTTAAGCAGACATCTACCTATGATCTGTCATCCCCCTTCTAGGTATTGTGATGACAAGCATATGCCCACATAGAGATGTGCACATGAATGTTTATAACAGCCTTATTTGTAGTAGCCAAATACTGAAAACAACCTAAATGTCCATCAACAAATGAATAAACTGCAATGTATCCATACAAGAGAATGCTCTTCAGCTGCATGCCGAGTAGCTACAACATGGATAAATTTTAAATAATTATACTGAGTGAAAGAAGCCATATTTTTTAAAAAAAAGTACATACTCACTGCTTCTCTTTACATGAAATTTTAGATAATGCAAACTGATATGTAGAGACAGAAAGTAGATCAGTGGTTGCCTGGGGACGGATGGAAGAATTACTAAAGGGCCTGAGGAAACTTGGAGATGAAGGATGTGTGTTATCTTGATTGTGGTAATGGTTTCACAGGTGTATGTATGTCAGAACTTATAAAGTTACGCATTTTGAACATGTGCAGTTTATATCAGTTGTATCTTGATAAAGCTATTAAAATTTTTTAAAAAGGAAAAAACACTAATCTTACTACATGTTTCTATTCAGAGTGTAGCTTTCATTGGCAATACTTTAAACAGTGTCCATCTTGCTATAGAGGCAATACGGAAAACTGTGGATGAACACAAAAAAGCCATGGAATTACTACAGAGTAATATGGTAAGGAAATCTACAAGTGCTACTGAAAATTACCATACTCCTGCCTCCCTTTTTCTGTGTAGTAATAATAGTGATGCCCTACTATGCACCTTTTTAAAAAATACAGTGAACAGTGTTTATTGTTACTTTTACAGTCTGTAAATTAAGCAGTTAAGGTGGATAGGAAAGAAGAAAAGGAGAGTGGGGAAGTGTCTCAGTTGTTTATTGCTACATAACAAATCACCACACAACTTTGTGGCTTAAAACAGTACAGTAGTATTTCTCACTATTCTGTGGATCTAGAACTTGGCAGGACTCTTAGACTAGGGAATGATGAGAGGCCAAGTGAAGGGGGTGCTCTAGAGGGTGAAAGGTCATCTGGGATGTTCAAGCCCCCAGTTGAATGTGGCTATGTGTGACCTCAGCCTACACCATGTGAAACAGAATACCCCCACTCCCGCTGAGCGTAGTCAACCCACAGAATCCTGACATATAATAAATTATTGTTGTTTTAAGCCACACAAAGTTTGGAATATTTGTTACGCAGTAATAGATAACAGATACAAACAAACCCCTGCATTGCTCAAGGATTGTTTTCAAATGTCTCTCAAAGCTGTGCCCATGTAAGCTGTCTGCAGTCATTCAGAGACCTGAATTCATCTAATGGGTACTTACCTCCATTCAGGATTTATGAAGGGTGAAAAGGATAGCACAGCTTCTGCTGTTGTGCTGGGGAGATGAGTTATACGTACTCAAAATTGGACTATTCAAGGCGTACAAAAATTCCCTAGCTTCTCCACTCATTCCTAGATCTGTCGCATGTTGATTAATCTCTGGATGCCCCCTGTGAGAAGCTAGAATGTTCTGGGACCATTCCAGATGGTTAAGTAGACTTAGTAATTACTGCTTGCCATACTAACCTCCATTCCTGTTAACAGAATCAGCACTCTTTGAAGGAAACCAGTAGAATCAACCAGATTATTCCATCACCTTCAGCCCCATCAGCACTTGACAATAAAACCCACAGTGAGAATGTGAAACAGGTACTTTCTGTCTCTGACTTACTTCCCTGTGACCACAGTGGACTCTAGAGCAGCCTGAGTAATTTATGCTTAGTGTTGTGCCTCAGCAGGCATCTCGTGCATATATGTGCCTACTTGAGAGCTGAGCAGAGAGGGGTATGTGATGCTGTCTTAGGGATCCAAGAATCTGTCCTATCTCTTGTTTGGCAATCTGCTTTTTTCCCTGCATGTCGATCAGTGGATTAAATTCCTTTTCACATCTTGAAAGACAGAATGACCAGACTATCCTAAAACTTTTTATGAAAAGCAACAATCTGGGCAAGTTAAAGGTGGATGGATAGCAGATTAATTCAGAGCAATGGCTATTTTGAGCCACAGTAAATTCTAAGAACATTAGAAAGCATATCCTAAAAAATCAAGATTCTCTAAAGATTAAAGACAAGGAGAAAAAAGGATATTGAATTTAGAATCAAATTGAAGAGAATAAAGGAAATCTTTACTAAGAAGAATTCCTGTTCTGAGTTTAATGCCCTTTAAAACCGAGAGTCATCATTTCTATTTAAGTAGTAATCAGTAACTAAAGGATGTCAATAAAAATAATTGAATCTTGTACTAAATAATGCACTACTTGTTACAGTTTTGCTACATGAGCCAATTCAGTAATTGGTATTGTTCCTAAGGTAGTTTTGTTCTGACAAATTAGGTAAATGGACGTTTCAGTTAATAACCTAGCCATCTTTCCCGCCAGCAGGTGAGGTAAACATTGGGAAATCAATTCCCAAGCTCTCAGCTTCCTGGGACAAGAGAGTGAATCATGTAGGTAGTCCCCTTACCTCTTTCCCCCTCCTTTCTAGCTGAGGCCAAACAATTCCAGAGAGAGTAAACTGGGAGCGATTTAGAGTTAGAGGGACAAAGCAGAGACATGATCAATGGTCTAGACCAAGAAAAGGCGTTTACTTCAGTAACTTGACATAATAATGGTTGTTCAGTGCTGCTGGCCTCCTTGTCTAGTATACATCTTTAGCTGGATTCCACAACCTGATTTATTTCCACTCCAGGATATCCTGTACCTTCACAACTCTTTAGAGGAGGTAAACAGTGCCCTAATGGCCCTGAGACAGAGTGATCTTAAACTGGAGGGGAGGAATGAGACAGTCAGTATTCTTACCCAGAGAGTCAAATTGGTAGAAAGAGATCTGGTTGCTATGAGCAAGGTAGAAAAGCAAGCAAACCTGTCCTTCAGCATGGTAAGCCTTTTCAGATCTTTTGTGATGTGTTATGTGTTGCAGTGTCTTTTGTCTGTACGTGGATGACAGTCCACCACCTTTTCAGACAGTCTTCCAGCGTATTTGAGAGGCTGCCCATTTGCATTGTACCTAATCCTTGTCTCTAGTCCTGACACTAGCTCTGCGCTGTGAATGGCACAGGAGGTGTTGGTCCTGGTTTGGAGGGGAGATGTATAGAGCTTTAGTTGCTTGCCCAGGCCTAACCACAGGTTGTTGGCAGAAATGACAAGCTTCCTATTATGTTGTCAGTGACACATCTGGTAGGGAAGCTCTGGCACATTTTTCCAAGTGGGGTCTTCTTGATCTTTTCTTTTTTAAATTGTTAAGGGTGGGGGTGGGAACAATGACAGTGACAATAACTGAAGAATCGTTTGCCATTTCATTAAGCCAGAACTTGGTTTTCAGATTTATCCTGCTCTTTCTGCATATTAAGGAGATACTTTTGCATATAAGGTCAGGAAAGCCATTTAAAACAGATGAGATCTGACCAGCTCCTCAACTTAAGAGACCATTGAGTCCAGCCTTTCATTTTACATATGAGGAAACTGAATGACCTCCTAAGTCACCGATGTTGGCAGACCATGTGGTTTACTGGTTTTCATGTTATTGTGTGTTTCTTTAATCACCTTTCTCATATACTTTGTGCTGAGATCCATATGGATTGCTTTTTAATAGTTGCAATCCTCACCCTTAAAGATTTCATACAACAAAGACACAGGCATATATAAAGAAATGGAAACCAAATACAGGAAATTATACTGTAAATTTATGTAACCACGAAAGCTGGAAGCAAGCCCATGAGTAAAGTCAAACTGTGGCACATAGAAAGCAGTGTTTGAACTGGCTCTGCCACAGTGGAGCCTTGGCAAGTTGCCTCGACTTGGCTTAGAGGGTGGAGTAAGACCTGTTTCCTCTCATGTTTTACAGGGGTGTGTAACTGACTACAAATCTGTGAAAATTAAAGGAGCCTTACTTTAAAAAGCCTTTTTGAATTCTGCTAAACTAAGTAGGGGCTAGGAATTTTGGATGATTTGATGAGTAGTAGGCCTCAAGGTTTTCAAGGCTTATTATGAAAACTTACCATCCCACACTTCCCCTACTGTCCCTCTCTTCCCCACTTAATTTTTCTCCAGAAGAGGAAATTGTTAATAGTAAGACCTGCCTTACTGTTTCTTCCAATAGTATCATTCCCGGTATGGTTCTAGGTTAAAGTTTTCTTGCTTTTTATACTTCAAAGTTTTAAAGTTTGTGAATGAAACAACTAGACTAAGCACCATTCTCAGCTTTGTATCTTGGTGGCCTTTCTCTCTCTCTTCTCTCATTCTCCTTCTGGTATTTCTGTTGAAAGTGTTCTGAGATCTTTTAAATAAGTTGACCAAATTGCTGAGAAAGTGCTAAATGTTTACATTTTAATGTTTGCCTTTAATCTTCTCTTGTTCTTTTTACCCTTTAAGAAAGGTGAAAGAGCTACCACTCTGAAAAGAGAGTCTTTGCATCAGGTGACCAGCAGAACAGATACAGTAAAAATCCAAAGCATAAAGGTAAATAACAGGAAGCTTACTTTGAAGTAAAAATAAATGCACCAGCATCTTTGTACTTTTGAACTACTGCTGCTTTCTCAAAAGGAGCTACTTTTGTCTCATTTGCAAAACTTCAAGACAGATTAATTAGTGTATTAGTATATTGAATAGTGAATACTTTATCAGGCACCTACCTAGTGCCAATCACTCTGCTAGGAACTGGGGTGACCACAGTGAGCAGGATAGACACGTGAACCGTATTCTGGTGGAGTTCAAAGTACATCAGTCAGAAAATCATTAACATGTAATTGAACAGATAATTAATCACAAATATGATAAATGCTAGAGAGGAAAAGTACAGGGTATGATGAGGGCATTAGCAGAGATGAAGAAGGCTTTTCTAAGGAAATGACTTTTAAACTAAGACAGAAGGTTATATGTACTGATGGGTAACAGTGGCTTAGATAATCTAAAAACGGTGACTAACCTAAAATTTTTTTTTTAATTTTTAAATTGCAGTCTCAGAACTTACATAGTCTATTTAAGCCTCAGCCAGTTCCCTTCAACTTGTACCTTTCCCTTTTGTTGTTCATCCCAGACATGTTGTCAAGATAAGCAATCTCTGATATACCCTGTCACCTCGGGAAAGAAAGTTTGCTTGCAGCATTCTCTGTGATTAGAGTGTTGTTTAATACTGTAAGTCTGAGCTAAGCTAAAGGAAAAATCAGGAAGATTGTGACTGAGTCGCTAAAATACCATCTCAGATGCATATTACATTTGACAAATTCAGATATGAGGGTCAGAGAAAATGAACTTTGAAATGAACCAAATACAAGCAGTTTTCAATGTAATGTTTTCCATCTATGTTTTTTCTTCCTTAACAGTTTTGTATTGTCAGATAAAAGCCTCATATATTAAAATGTTAATGCTTTATAAGCTAGGCTTTTGTTGTATTTTCTAACTGCTGCAAAGAAAATTTTTTTAGAAAAACTTCAACTGGAGAATGACAGGAAAAATTCAAGAGCCAGATATAAGTGTTGAACAGAAAAAAGTAACAGGTGGTTACTGTTGAAAAGTAGTTCAGGTTTTTTAACAGTAAATATCAGAATAAAATACAGCTAATACATATTTTTGCCTGAATTTCTTGGCTTTACTTTCAGACCTTTTGTTTTTCATTGTCGTCTCAGTGTATGAGTCCCTTTGTGCTGCGTCATGTAAGCATCCTAACCATATGTCATTTCTTTTAGCATAAATTCTTCAAGCAGTTAGGACCTAGTTTTAGTTACATATGCTCATATATTAGCTCTCTAAATAAACCAAGAGTGACCTAAACAATAACTATTAGGGTAGAAACAAAGGCAGAAGAGAAATAAGTAAATATATATTGAATAAAAGAAACATGTAATGAGTTTATATTCTAATTAAACACAGGATCAGGACCTTTCGCCCTAGCCAAAGCAGTTAGAAACTGGCCTCATAGAAACCAGACTTCTCTCCTTTTATAACTAAATGTACCTTTATATGCCTCTCTAGATCATCATGGGGATGAGGCAGGGTATAAGGTAAATAGCTTTTTAAAAAGATATAAATAAGACTTTGAATTAGAAGTATTACAGCTTCTTCTTCATGTTCCTATCAGTTCCTGCCACCAGTTGAATCATCACCATGTGGGGAGAGAAGAAAGATCAGGGGAATATTTGTGGTTTGGTTGCTTTTTTTTAACATGATAAGAGCATAAAACTCTACCTAAAGTCGTCTATTCACAAAGTGAAGTAATATATTCAGGAAAATTATTTAGTTAGTGTGAAATCGTTCCTAGAAACCAATATCCTACTCATTTAGGAAATAGGTGTCACAGAGGCACCTGATCAGGGGGACATTTCCTTTACTGCTGATACAGGCATTCCTTCCCCCATCAGCCAAATGTTCACAGTGAATCAGATCATCTGTAGCATAATGTTCCCTTAATGGTCTAGGCTCAAATCCAGCTAGGCCCTCATCAGCACTGAGTACCGAAGATATCTCTAGTATTTGTTGATTCATTTCTTCATTGCCTGTACTGATAGGGAATCTACTGGGGGTCAGGCACTACATGCTAAATAGGCTCTGGGAACATAATAAAGAATCAGATGAAGCCTTGCTTCTACCTTAAACCTCTGTGATCTTTGTTTTGGGCAGAAAGAAGATAGTTCGGATTCTCAGGTATCCAAGCTAAGAGAGAAACTACAGCTGGTCACTGCTCTCACCGACAAACCTGAGAGCAACAGGCCTCCAGAGACCACCCATGCAGATTCTCAGGTATCCAAGCTAAGAGAGAAACTACAGCTGGTCACTGCTCTCACCAACAAACCTGAGAGCAACAGGCCTCCAGAGACCACCCATGAAGGTGAGATATTCAGGGCTGGCTTCTGAATATTTCACGCAGGCTTGAGCAGCTTGCCTCCCACATGGAGTGGAAAGGTGTTCCAGCAGGACTGATTGAACCGAGTGAATGATGCCTGAGCGCACCGAGATGAAGCTGATACACTTTGCTTTCATTTAGAAAAAGCCCATTTGGTACATGATTTGTACTCCAGTCTATTAAGGGAAGAAAGGGTAATGTTTAGCTGGAAATAGACTTTTCCATGCTGTCTGCATCCAATTATAGGCAAAAAAACATTACTGTCATAGCATGTATTAAACCAACTAAATGTTTACGGAAGTCTTTTCATTTTTTTTTAAGTGCATAAAATTTACTTAAAAATAAATATTAGTCCTTCTGAAAACCCATTAACAAATAATGATGGGATCATTGGGTTGGAAAGGACCTTGGCTTTAGGTAGGGACATACCTAGTCAATGTTGGCAGATATATCAATTGGTTTAAGCTCTAGGAGGATGTAACCAAGGCATTGGACTATGTTGGCTTTTATCCCTAACCCCCACAAGTATTTCTTATATTTGGGAAAGCAATACAATCTCTCTTACTCTTTTGGGTGGGAGACAGACTACAGTAGGAGGACTTGTCACTGTGCTACACAGTTGTATGGTAGCACTCTATCCGCACCAGCTGGTCTGGTGGCACATATACCCAATCAATCTTATAGCACAGCTCCCAGGGTATCAAATATCCAATGCTACTCTCACTTGCAGCGTAAACTCTTAACATCTAAACATGTATAATGCTTACTGATACTATTAAGATTTTCCAGTGAGACTGCAGCTTCAAACCTTAATAATATAAATTACTGATTGATTTTCCCTTACCCACAAAACATATTCAATCCGTACCTTTAACTTAATTTAGTCACTATGCTACTTCTACTCAACTATTTCTCTTTTATTTTTCAATTATAGTTGACATTTAGTATTATTTTATATTAGTTTCAGATGTACAGCATAGTGGTTAGACAACCATGTAATTTACAAAGTGATCTACCCAATATTTCAAGTACTCTCTGGCACTATACATAGTTATTACAATATTATTGGCTATATAGTATTGCCTGTGTTGTACTTTACATCCACATGACTGCTTTTATAACTACCAATTTGTATTTTTTAATCCCTTCACTTTTTCACTGAGCTCCCCAACCCCCTACCCCTCTGGCAACCATCAGTTTATTTTCTGTTTCTGAGTTTGTTTCTGTTTTGTTTATTTATTTATTGTTCTTTAGATTCCATATATAAGTAAAATCATATATTTGTCTTTCTCTATATGACTGGTTTCACTTAGCATAATACCCTCTTGGTCAATGTTTTTCAACTTTTTTCATCTCATGGCACACAAACTAATTACTCTAATTCTGCGACAGAACAAAAAATATTTTTTGCCAATCTGACAAAAATATAGGTATAATTTTGATTTATTTACAATGATAATAATAATTACCTACCCTTTTTGCCCCAAAGTGACTTTTTTTAAAAAAACAGATGCCTATACTTGTATATAAGGATTTCTGATACCAAGAATTAACCAATCAGATGCAACCTTATTATGTGATGTAACCAATAAGATTCAGCTCTATTATCTGACCTATATATTTATGATTCAAGCAGGGCATTCACATGGGACAGCTATTGTTGTGTTGGCTGTTGTCATTTTTTTATTTGACAATCTAAGGGAAAAGAGGTCAGTGCCCCTGACTAAATAGTCAAGTATTGCATGTTTTAAAAATTCTTACAGCACACTGGTTGAAAATCACTGCTGTAGGTCTATCCATGCTGTTGCAAATGGTAAGATTTCATTCTTTTTATGGCCTAGTAATATTCCATTCTATATATGTAACACAATTTTTTTATCTAGTCATCCACTGATTGTCACTTGGGTTGCTTCCATATCTTGGCTATTGTAAATAATGCTGCAGTGAACATAAGGGTGCATTTATGTCCTTGAATTAGTGTTTTGGGTTTCTTTGGATATATACCCAGAAGTGGAATTGCTGGGTCTATTTTTAATTTTATAAGGAACCTCCATAGTGTTTTCCATAGTGGTTGCATCAATCTGCATTCCTACCAGTAGCGTACAGTATTTTTCTTCCTCCGAATCCTCACCAACATTTGTTGTTTGTTGGTTTATTGATGATGGCCATTCTAACAGGTGTGAGGTGATATCTCCCTGTGGTTTTAATTTGTATTTCTCTGATGATTAGTGACATTGAGCATCTTTTCATTTGTCTATGGGCCATCTATATGTCCTCTTTGGAGAAGTGTCTATTCAGGTTCTGCAGCCATTTTTTAATTGGGTTGTTAGTTTTTTTGGTGTGGAGTTGTATAAGTTCTTTATAAATTTTGGATATTAACCCCTTATCAGATGTATCACTTGCAAATATCTTATTTCATTCAGTAGGTTGTCTTTTTGTTTTGCTGATGGTTTCCTTTGTCAGTGATTTCTCTTAAGTATATATGCAATTGTCCTAAAAGGTGACCTTCATTACTGGTTTAATTTGGTGTCAGGTTTATAGTACTAAAACCATACGTGTTTGTTACAGAGCAAGTACAGAGTTTTACATCAAAGCCATCAGCATTGCCAGAATTGCCACAGTTTGTCATACACCAGACTGAGAAAGCTGTCCAGCTAAGATCTGTCTCCCTACCAGGAATTTCTAGCATCAAAGGTAAATGTTTATACCATTGAGTAATAAGGGAAATGTTCACACTTGATCTTAGCCAAAAGGTCGAGAAGTGATGGAGGAAGGGAAACATTAAAAGTTATAACTTTTTAATTTTTTTAACTTGCAAGAAAAATAATTATATCTAACATTGAGCACTTCTTATGGGCCAATATTTTATATGCATTGTATTATATAGTCCTGATTAAAAATCCTGGGAACATAGCCCTGCCCAGTGTGGATCAGGGGTTTGATTCCTGGTCAAGGGCATGTTACCTGGGTTGCAGGTTTGATCCCTGGCCCCAGTTGAGGTGTGTGCAAGAGGCAGCCAATCGATGTGTCTCTCTTACATTGATCTTTCTCTCTCTCTCCCTCCCTTTTCCTCCCCCTCCCTCCCTCTCTTCCACTCTTTCTAAAAATCAGTAGAAAAGATATCCTCAGGTGAGGACTAATAAAACAAAAAAATCCTGGGAACATAAATATTCATGTGTGATGCCCATTTTACTGATAGGAAAACTGTCTAAGTCCATACAGCAAATAATTAGTTGAGGTAAACTTCATACCAAGGCAATCTGACACCAAAGTTTGCACTCTTAACCAATGTACTATATTATCTCTCCGGTAATGTTTCTAGAGTTTTCATGCATTCATTGAGTGCCTAATTAGACCCAGTGCTAAGCAGTAAGAGTACAGTATAAAATACAGCCTCACATTCCTCACAGATATAAAAGTCTAGTGGAAAAGGCAAACAAGAAAACATAATATGGTGAAATTAGCAAGATTAAACGTTGACCCTATTTGTCCAGGTCCTCCAAAAATGAGGAGTCCTTTGGCTGAAAATCGGAAAGATAAACAGTAGGAAGGATCAGCAAGATTCACAGAAAAATGTGTTTGTCTTGCTTCCAACAATGTATATTCTATCCCTCATCGTGATGTTTGGATCTCTTGATTTTGCATTTGCTAACGCCTGTCCATCTACCTTTGCCTGGCTCTTCACCTCAGCTTAGATACCATTCCACCAGGGAACAGTTTCTTACTTCCCAGGACTAGATTAGGTTCCTTCTGTGTATGACCTCTTATATTTTGTTTGCCCCTGTTTAGTTTATGTCACTCTGTTATAATTTCCTGGGGAGACATAAAATTTAACTTTACTCCCAGTCCCTAGCACAGTGCCTGGTACATGTGAATATTTGTTAAGTGAATGAGTTATCTACAGGTTACAATTAAAGCATAAAAGACCTAAATTTATTTTGCCACTTAAATGCAATTTTTTCTTTTCTGTCTCCAGTTTTTTTCTTTCTTTCTGTTTTCTGGGGAGACAGGAGAGTGTTGTGTTTTTTGACAATACAAGTTGCCTCCTCCCACTCACCATTATTACTTCAAGAATTGATGAGAATGAATGGAGGAAAGTCTGTTAAGAACAAGCCATCTTAACATTTGTACTTCAGTCCCTAACATAAGTTTTACACACTTCTGAATGACTACACTTTTGAAATGACCTGGAGCAGCAATCAGATTTTTATTTGAGTACTGCTACCAAGTGCATAGCACATTTTATAAACTTATGCTTCATATACACATACAATAAAACATTTTTCAGCGAGCCACTTGGTGGCAGGCATGGAGAACAAGCATCCCACCTGTTTTTCTGGCTTTCAAGGAGCTTTTGAGACTATATAGCTGCTGCTTTGCTAGGGCTATCTTAAGAGTGAAAGTAGGGCCTTATTCAGAAGCTTGTCTACAAAACTCCTTGATGGACTAGACCTTGCATTTTAACTGTTTCCCGCTTCATACCATATCTATTCTTCCTAAGTCCCAAACAGCAGAAGGCCTATTAAATCTAAGTGTGAAGTTGAATAAATGAAGAAAGGAAAAAAATTTAGGAAGATTTTTAAAGAAACATAAGTCTCATTGACTGTCTTCTGGTATTAGAGACTAAATCTAAGTCATGAGTAGGGACACAATCAGGTTCTTTTTAAATGTTTTATAAATAATTGGCCCTCCTAAGTATGTTCGTTATGGGGTCCTTGAGAAAATACCAGAAGAAACTGTTGATAGAAATTCTCCAATCCTATTGGCTCAAATAATATCTTAGAAATAAAAAAGAAGATATAGATCAACTGATATTGTTGCTGTCTCTCTCAGCTGGAATAGAAAGAGGGAGGGGAAGGGAGAGG